GAGACAACACTTTAGCTAAGATCTTATGGAGACTAACGACCAAACAAACTGCTCAAAAATTCTTAATCCATAGTGAGTTCTCTTTGTTTTTGGAATTAAGCAAATGCAAGGATCGCGAGTGTTCCATTATAAAAAATACCAAACACCTTCATCAAATCATCCTTAACCACATCCCAAAATCCTAAAACACTAAATGTAAAGCAATCTGGCCCCAAATATTTTTCTCCTCAACACTGAAAAATAGAATATATAATTTTAATCTTCTCAAAATGTCTTTCCAACCAATTTACTTTACCACCATCCAGGGACACCAATTAGATNAAAGCAAATGCAAGGATCGCGAGTGTTCCATTATAAAAAATACCAAACACCTTCATTAAATCATCCTTAACCACATCCCAAAATCCTAAAACACTAAATGTAAAGCAATCTGGCCCCAAATATTTTTCTCCTCAACACTGAAAAATAGAATATATAATTTTAATCTTCTCAAAATGTCTTTCCAACCAATTTACTTTACCACCATCCAGGGACACCAATTAGATCCTCCCAGCTTATCTTTTACTCTCTTCAAATAAATACAATTTTTTTGTAAAAAAAAAAAAACAATGTCGTTCTGAGTAATATCCTCATCTCCAATCACCACACCATTATCAACTCTAACTTAAATGCCTGTACTTTTTCTTCTACAATTTGCAACCCTATGAAAAAATTATGTATTATTATCCCCCTCTCTAATCCAATTAAGCTTTGTCTNAATCCTCCCAGCTTATCTTTTACTCTCTTCAAATGAATACAATTTTTTTGTAAAAAAAAAAAAAATAATGTCGTTCTGAGTAATATCCTCATCTCCAATCACCACACCATTATCAACTCTAACTTAAATGCCTGTACTTTTTCTTCTACAATTTGCAACCCTATGAAAAAATTATGTATTATTATCCCCCTCTCTAATCCAATTAAGCTTTGTCTTTTGTCTCCAAGAAATTTTTTTCGAGATTACGTCCTCAAACGTATCATAAGATCTAATCTTTCTTTACTTCAAATCTCACCCAATCTATTTTCCTCTTTGATTTTATCTAACTTCACAATTCTTTTCAAAATTAAACTTTCTATACACACCAGAAGCCCTCCTTGTTCCAATCCTTTAATTTGAATGTAACAAATCTTAACTTTTCCATGATTTTAGAAACCCTCTAGCCCTGAAAACTAACCTCATTCCATTAATCCCTAAAAGCATTGCGAAAATTAGGATGTTCTGACCATATATTTCAAAACTTAAAAGGAACTGGTCTCTATTTAAAAGATTGTGTCTCCAACACGATACCACTATGGTCTAAAACCACCATTGGCAAAACCTCATACAAACACTCAGAAAACACCCATCNCATGAAACTTTCTATACACACCAGAAGCCCTCCTTGTTCCAATCCTTTAATTTGAATCTAACAAATCTTAACTTTTCCATGATTTTAGAAACCCTCTACCCCTGAAAACTAACCTCATTCCATTAATCCCTAAAAGCATTGCGAAAATTAGGATGTTCTGACCATATATTTCAAAACTTAAAAGGAACTGGTCTCTATTTAAAAGATTGTGTCTCCAACACGATACCACTATGGTCTAAAACCACCATTGGCAAAACCTCATACAAACACTCAGAAAACACCCATCCCAATCAGTTGAAAAAGGACACATAATTTATAACAAACTAATGCCAACCATGGATCCTTCAAAATCATATTCATAGCTAATCTCTTGTACTTCTTATCACTTTACATCTATTCAACTTCTTATATACATACCTAATCACATTGAAATCACAACCTAAACACCATCTAGGGCTACATAACCCAAACAACCCTATAAATTCCTCCTATAACACGCTTACTAACTTATTCTCTCAAAAAGTTACATAACTGGACTTTCCTACATAGATACTTCATTTATAAATACCCTCGTCTTCCTCGACCCTAACCCCTAAACGTTCTTATTGACAGTTTTCATGTCAACCCATTGATTCCATCTCCAACCTTTCTAGAATGTACCCCATCATGGTCCACCCCAAACTGCAAGTTTCGACAGTCCCTACATTCTATCCTTTACCATTTCCACCTCCCCCTGGCTTTTACATCTTTACCTATATGGAGCAAACAATAAAATCCATATTCTTCTCCTCATTAATCAACTAATTCCTATCCCCATTCCAATCTGAAAGACTCATTTCCTTGGATTCAGAATCCCCCACATCATTTGGCAATAGATTTCCTCTAAGTTCATAATGTTACACTTAATAACAACTAAAGCAACGAACAGTGACTTATTCCAGTTGCTTAAAGGCTCACTAGTATCCAAATTGTCAAATTAAGATAGAGCATTAGGAACCGAACCCACCAAACCCAAAACTGCGCTACTAATACCTCAACCAGATCCAATGCACATTCCCCATCCACCCCTTTCATAGATGAAATAAATAGATCACTGGCTCTTTCCAAAAAAAGAAAAGTAATTAGTGGTAGATCATTGGCCCATGCTGACAAGAAGACTCATCAACTTTGCCATCATTCATGCCATTTCATTCTAATATTCATCATCCTCTTTTTCTTGAACAATAGCCAACATCACAATTTGACTTATAAATTTTCGTTCTACGAGCGGAGTCCTTATTCCCCCATCTCCAGAGCAACTTGTTGAATCTACATGCCCTTTAAAAGTTTCGACAACCATAGTGAGCAAAAATGACCTCATCAACAACATAGCATGCATTATCTCGTGATCCTCTACTTAATGAACCATCACCGAAACCTTCCTTCACCATTCAAAATTGACTAGAATTAGGCATGCAACTCGGGTAGAGGGCAGATTGAGTTGGTGAGAGGTTACTATGGCAAAGGATCAATATTTGTCTCATTTCCACTGAAACTTTGGGTTTCCATAGGAACTAAAACGAAGAAGTGATTAAATTTCAAAAATCCTATGTTTCAAAATATTTTGGTATGTCTTAACCAATGTTTCAGAATGCTTTGAAAATAAATTTCTAAATTTTTGTTTCTAAAAATTTTTAAAATTTTTTCATTTCCTAATTGAACAAAACTACGTACCAAAAAAATTTTGATCCTTGGGCTCAACCAAGTTATGCAACCCTCGGCCAACCCTGAATTACGCCCAAAGTCCTTCAACCAAAGTATTACCTATGTTAACTATTTAAATCTAGTTCAACTCTGATTGCATAACTTGGGTAGGTAGCTGTTGAACCATACCACATAGATCCGATAACAACAACAGCTGCAAAAAAAGACAACAGTGATACTACCGAAAATGACGGTTTCAATATTGCCCATACGCNTGGCCAACCCTGAATTACGCCCAAAGTCCTTCAACCAAAGTATTACCTATGTTAACCATTTAAATCTAGTTCAACTCTGATTGCATAACTTGGGTAGGTAGCTGTTGAACCATACCACATAGATCCGATAACAACAACAGCTACAAAAAAAGACAACAGTGATACTACCGAAAATGACGGTTTCAATATTGCCCATACGCAGTTTTTTGTATAGACATTGGGGCGGGCGGACGCTAAGATGGAATAGACCAGCTAATATGTCCAATGACTCTCGAATTTTAATAGGTTCAATTTGGGCTAAAATTGGGCTCATATCCAATTTGATTATTGTGTTATGATTCGATTTCAATTCGGGTTAGGTCTAATTGGTTGCCGAAAACCTGGGACTTCACTCTGAGTACACCACGAATCTAAATCAGGTTGGAGCTTTATTGCGTAAACCCAACTGAATATCAAAAATCTCTATCTAATTACAAAATATTTTAAGTCAGGTTCGAATTGACTTGTCCAATTTCACTCCTAAGTAGCACCACTAGAAATCTCCACTCGTCACTCTCGGCAGGGGCACCCTCGTTCAAAGCATCATTGGATTTCTCCTCACTTTTGGCACCCACTGAGACAAACAATACCATTTCCTTTCAATCACCCTTCTTTACCAATCCTTTATCCCTCAAATTATTGGATCTAGGCTTGAGCCCCAGTCGAAAGAGAGGTGGCCAATTGATTTGAAAGCATCTTGTATCTTTATGTTAGGAGACACTTCACTTTGGTCTGAGTATCGATGTTGGACACGTATGGGACACAGCTAAAATGAGTGTCTGATTTTTTTATAGTTAACTTTTTTCAGGACACATTGGGCAAATGCAACCAGCACGTTTATGTTTTTTTAGTGTTAACTTTTTTTCAGGACACCTTTTGAGTGTTTTTTCAAATTTTTTTAAAAAAAATTCGATAACTTTATGATTAAGGGAGTTATTTTTATAATTTTAAAGAGATATAAGTTAAGATTCAAAATATAAAATGACTTATAATCACCATATTGAACATAGGACATCAATGCAACATAATTTCATATATGAATATGAATCTGTATACAAATGGAATAAATTTTTAATATAAAAGTAATATGATGAAAACTGGGTTACAAAACTGTGAATCTTTGAAATTGATGAAAAATTAGTGTTATGCAATGGAATATTTTTGAAAATAAAAATTATAATAGTCATTGATTGTTGAATCATAGATGTTAATGATGAATGTGTATCAACATATCTTTTATTGTATTTTTTATGTCGTGATATCATGATGTGAATTTTTAGAATTAGAGAAAAGATGAATTAAAAGATTATTATGATAATATTTTTATTTTATCACATGATTATTAGATAATATATGTGTATATAAATGCATATTATTTAACGTGTTTGTATCCTACTTTTTTTGAAAAGTTCGTGTCGACGCGTACGTGTTGTATTGTATCCGTGTCCGTGTTTCTTAGTCTTTAGGCTTAAAAGGCCTAACGAATTCCTAGACCTTGAATCAAATAGGTGACAACTCTGAAACTAGCCTTAGCCTATCATCACTTCGGGATTTAAAATTAAAAAAATTGAACTTTATTTGGAGTAAGGCTTAATCAAGCCCACGTTCACTCTACGTGACAAGCCTATCCTTCCTATGCCAGTGCCAGTAGGCTCGCCAATATAATAAGCATCAACCCTTCCATTGAATCCTTGATTACCCTTTTCCTTCTTATATTTCGTAATACCCTGCTTATCGCCGCCCTTATCTCTCTTAGGCTTGGTTTTCAAATTCAAGTTAGCCAAGAGAGCCTCATTATATTTCCCATGGTCGGCCTATTTCCTTCTTGGAAACCAACAATCCTGGTTCCTTCCACATTGGGTTGCTACGTGTGATTAACACCCACTCCACTTCCCTACGCCATCCCATAAGATGCCCTGTCCCTTTCATTCCTCTCACTCATAAAATTGGCCCATACCCCCTTAGAGACCCTAGTTGCATTCAACCTCCTCCATGGTGCATAGTGCTTTCATGCTACGCACTCTTTGCAAATCATGCTGACTCATTTCCAAACCAAAACCACTAGAAACAACTCTGACTTTGATCAGAAATGAATCATCACCAAACTTGACATTCAAAGAAGTACAAAAAAATCCATTGTACACCCTCTTAACTCAATTTTGGCTTCAACTGAATTAGTAAAATTCACTTCTTTGTCCATATCATTCAACCCATTTCCATTACATTTTCACTAGTCTTGAGGAAGAAATCCACCTTCCATAAATTCAAGTGAAAACCTTTTTTCGCAATCCACTCTCCAAAAAAGCCAATGTAGAAAATACTGTAAACAAAGGACTCCAAATCAGCTAACCATAATTTGCCCATTAATGAGACAGCTGGAAATCAACCAACATCCAGGTGATCCCTACAAAAGAATGAAGCCTTATAAATATGTAAAGAAAACAACTGAAAGTTTCTATCAAATGCCTTACACATAGCATTTTGAATCTGAACCCATTTATTAGCCACCTTCTCTTGCACAGACCACCACTAGTGACTCCCATATTGCAAAACTAGAATTAACCCAATGGAATAATTGAATATGTAAAATCTTCCTTCGCGGTCACTGACTCATTAGGCATTCCTTGCTCACTAAACTTCCTGTATTTGTTCACCAAAAATCATATTGGCAGATCATCTATGCTACTCTTCTCTAGCATTGATTAACATTGCCTTCAGGATTAATTGTAACTCTTTTCACCCATTCATAAAAATTAAGAGATTGAAATAAAGACCCTCTATGTTCGTAGAAAAAAAGGTTCCTTGAACCTCCAGTTCACCACATCAATAGAACCTTAATCAGCCAACGAGGACATCTCAAATCAATCAATAGAAATCAAATAACTTGAGAAAATACTTCTTTCTCTAATTGTATTCCAAGAAAGATCAACATTTAGCGAAAATAACCATTGCTATAGCTTAATTTCTCGGGCAAGGTTCCAATAACTTCTTTGCATGTCCAGCGACCTGTATGAAGAACCATTGTTAAGACCTTTTGCCTCTCAATGGAATGGTCACCTCGGAGCTCTACTTCAAATCAAGGTCTTACTTGTTCTTGTCGATCTGTTGCTGATTATAGATGTTGTTGACAAGTGGTTCAATCATACTTGTAGGAGCCATTTCTCCATGATGTAGTTACTCTCCACAGGGGTTACTCCTTTTCCCATTCATGCTTGATCATCGTGACCAAATCACAGCCCACTTTCTTGGTGGTTACTCGTGATTGCTTGAAATGTACTCTCACATTCCAAAATTCTACATTGTCTGTCCAGATGCTTACATGTCAAGTATGCGTCCTTTTTAGCCATTGGTGACCAGTATATCCATGCATATTATCGGGGAAGACGTAGGCTATTCTCCGAACTATATAGACTGATGTCATCGTTGCCGCACCTTTTACTAGTAGTCATGTAATTTGGACTTCATGACCAAAAAAAAAAAAATTTAATTTGGACTTAAAGTTATTGCAATTCCCTGTGACTGATTTACGAGTCAAGGTATTCTCACACACACACACACGTATAAGCAATAAATACACGCCAGAAAATGGAACTTTGTCAGCAATTAAATCACAANACGAGTCAAGGTATTCTCTCACACACACACACACGTATAAGCAATAAATACACGCCAGAAAATGGAACTTTGTNATTTAATTTGGACTTAAAGTTATTGCAATTCCCTGTGACTGATTTACGAGTCAAGGTATTCTCACACACACACACACGTATAAGCAATAAATACACGCCAGAAAATGGAACTTTGTCAGCAATTAAATCACAACCACGCTTAAGCAAAGAATGGTACAGAAATCAGACTATAATAGAACTAACGATTAAACAGTGGTAATGAACATCAACAAGACAGACCTGGTCTTTGTGGTGCTCATTGGAGTCGGCGGAGATTGATCCGGCGACGGATGCTCCGACGGACCGTACATTAGACGACACCGTCTTGATACAAGAAGAAATGAACTTGAAAGAATTTGGGATAAAACCATTAGTATTGTTATCGGAATTCTTAGGCTTGTTATTAGGGTTCCTCTTCATAATCAAAGTCCAGTTTATGTTTTACCGGTCACCGGTGAAGTACCGGAAAAAGTTACTTCTCCTCCACCACAACCGCCACCGCCTCCACCGGTCGCTGAAGGTTACTGGAAAGGGACAATCAGATTGAGTATTAATTGGGCCCAAAACGGTAGATAATACCGACGAGAATTAGGTGTCGGTCTCGGTGTCGGGTGTCGGGTGGTGGGTGTTGGGTTTGACCTGAACAGGGACGGTTTCTTTCTCTCTTCTGATATCTCCTTGCTTTTCGCTGTCTCCTGCTCGTTAATTGAATTGCGCTGTAAGCAAAATTTTTTAAATATCACAATGGCCACTGCATGTTTTCACTTTTGCTATTGATCTCCCCGACATTTTTGAAGTATCACTTACACCACCGTCCAAAAGCTTATAGTTACAAAGTTGCCCCACAATTTACCCATTGCACCCCAAATTTGGAATCCTAACTGTATCCCAAATGAGTAAAGAACTTCGAATGATAGATCCATTGAAAAACTTTAACAAGACTCACTGATCCAATGGTCTCTATTAATTTAGAATATAATTTAGAATCTTAAAGCATTGCTCATTTTTTATTCTTTTGCTTCGTTATTGAGTAATATATTGCTTTGAAGTGTAGATGACAATTGTATCATTTCTATTTTTTTCATGGTTGTTTATTTTTAACTTTATTGTCATGAAATATTAGGAGAAAAGGTGATTCAAGGTAAATCTTTCCTTACAACTATATATGTGAAATTACTGGACACAAACCTAGAGGGTGTGAATAGGTTTATTAAACTTATGCTTGGACAACCACCAATTTTGAATCTAATTGACCACAATTACTAATTCTCAAATTAATTATGCAATTAAGTATGTAAACCCTTTTTATTAACAACGTGANAGACACAAACCTAGAGGGTGTGAATAGGTTTATTAAACTTATGCTTGGACAACCACCAATTTGAATCTAATTGACCACAATTACTAATTCTCAAATTAATTATGCAATTAAGTATGTAAACCCTTTTTATTAACAACGTGAAGGCGGAGTCAGATATTTTATTTAAGGTGGACATTTTAATTACATACTCTAATTTTTTTTCAGTTAACCAATCACACTATATAATATATTGATATTTATTATATCATATTTGATATATAAAGTCCATTTAATACAAAAAAGGCCAAAAATTAATGTATATTGTATATGTAAAAAAAATGACTAATTATCACCATTATAAAAAAAATGGTGATNAATATTTTATTTAAGGTGGACATTTTAATTACACACTCTAATTTTTTTTCAGTTAACCAATCACACTATATAATATATTTATATTTATTATATCATATTTGATATATAAAGTCCATTTAATACAAAAAAGGCCAAAAATTAATATATATTGTATATGTAAAAAAAATGACTAATTATCACCATTATAAAAAAAATGGTGATAATTATCATTTTGTAATTAAAAAATAGCAGTTATTCACTAACAATCCATTAAATTTATTCAATAAACAATATTCCAAACATTATCGNATAATTATCATTTTGTAATTAAAAAATAGCAGTTATTCACTAACAATCCATTAAATTTATTCAATAAACAATATTCCAAACATTATCGCTGAATATTATTATAGTAAAACTACTAAACTAAAATTTAAGAGCTAAATATAATAAAGACTATAATCAATACTTGAATAGAAATAGAGACAATTTCTAGTAGAAAATAAAAAGTCAAATAAAGGTTAATTGGAAGAACTTTCACTTCTAAAAATTCATAAATAATAAAATTAAGGTTATCTAGAGAAAACCTTAATCTATACTACTAATAAAAGTACCTTAACATAAAAAAATTTTTATTCACTATTTTGCTCTTATAAAGAATTAAAAATGTCACTCTATCCTTCCACACTTAATATCTAAATTACCATTATATCCTTATGTATTTATGTAACGCCCCAAAACCCATCCTTGACGGCATTACAAACNAAATGTCACTCTATCCTTCCACACTTAATATCTAAATTACCATTATATCCTTATGCATTTATGTAACGCCCCAAAACCCATCCTAGACGGCATTACAAACTAAAAATTATTCACATCATGAGAATAATTAAATAATTCATCCATAAAGAAATTTAATACATCAAAGGTAATCTTTATAATCTCGTTCCCAAACGAATACACCAAAACATGACGAATATATCCCCCAAAGGAATATGATCTCAAAGTAAGATAATTATATCTCAAAAGAATTAAACAAAAACTTGCAACGAAATTACAAAAGAGTCTAGACTTCACAATATTTCCAAAGTAAATTTCCTAGTATAGAATAAAAAGTAATGTTGTTCTAAGCGTCTACCTCAGGGTCAACATGCCCGTCTAAGGGAATCTCCTAGTGTGCCGGTTCCTCAATTCCCAAATTCTTCTCCAGTACATAATCTAAAAAATGTAGTTTGTAAGGGGGTGAGCACTAAGCTCTGTAGCAACATTCCTCCCAACCTCGAACAAGATTTAGAAAAACATATAAAAATGGTCTGTCACTTTTCACAATAGCATATATGAATTTTGAAAGAAAACTGAGACATTTAAACAGATCTCAAGTTTAAGCTACAGTAATAATTTAATGCATAAGTGAAACCAATATACAACTAATCATTCGTTTCACCATAAAACGTTTCTCCCAGTTTTTTGCGGAATTTCATACTTTCCAAAATTCTTGTAGAAACTATTTCTGGTACAATGAACAATAACCCACCACTGTATTTGTATCTCTGGTATGAAGTAAGACCTTACATGGATACCATCAAAAATATCATGGCCCACGTACAACCCGCACAAATCCATGCAAGGATGTCCAACCTTTAGGAAGGGCATATGCCAACACCGTGACAGTGACGTATCCAACCAAAGAGTAGTATACTAACCCCTTTTTCCACAGTAACCCGTAAGCGATAATAGTTTAGTCCTCGTAAGGCACTAACCCCATTACGAGTGGTAGAAAAAGTTATAATCCACACGGAGTAAGAAGACGTCCACACACTCCAAGATACCCCGTCAATAGTAGCCCATGTCTATCCAACAACCACACAAGAGATACAATACCAACAATTTCCTCAAATAACAAACAATTTCATAAATCCCAAATTTCACATGTAGTACTTCAATAAAGAACGTAAAGAAAATGCAAGAGATCATCATCAATATCATTTTAGTACTCAACTCAAAGCACTAAAGTTTTCTAAGTCAAGAACAAAGCAAGAATCAAGAAGAAAGTCCATCTCTTTTGAAAACTAGGGTTTTATATCAAGAAAATAAAATTTCATAGGTATTCAACCCTAACTTGTGTAAAACATGGTAACAATTGCAAGAAGACCAATAAAAGATAATTTCATAGCAAATATATAAGATTTAGAGTCAAAGAATACATATATATTAGCCCTAGCATCAATGGATAAGAATGGAAGAAAACCCTCAACCTTGGTGTTCTTGAAGAAATCTAGGTTTTGATTCAATCCAAAGTGCAAAGCCCCTTTGATCTTGTGTTTTTCCTTCTCTTTCTTCCTCTCTAAAATTTTCTAGGGTTNTTCACCATAAAACGTTTCTCCCAGTTTTTTGCGGAATTTCAAACTTTCCAAAATTCTTGTATAAACTATTTCTGGTACAATGAACAATAACCCACCACTGTATTTGTATCTCTGGTATGAAGTTACACCTTACATGGATACCATCAAAAATATCATGGCTCACGTACCCGCACAAATCCACGCAAGGATGTCCAACCTTTAGGAAGGGCATATGCCAACACCGTGACAGTGACGTATCCAACCAAAGAGTAGTATACTAACCCCTTTTTCCACAGTAACCCGTAAGCGATAATAGTTTAGTCCTCGTAAGGCACTAACCCCATTACGAGTGGTAGAAAAAGTTATAATCCACACGGAGTAAGAAGACGTCCACACACTCCAAGATACCCCGTCAATAGTAGCCCATGTCTATCCAACAACCACACAAGAGATACAATACCAACAATTTCCTCAAATAACAAACAATTTCATAAATCCCAAATTTCACATGTAGTACTTCAATAAAGAACGTAAAGAAAATGCAAGAGATCATCATCAATATCATTTTAGTACTCAACTCAAAGCACTAAAGTTTTCTAAGTCAAGAACAAAGGAAGCGTCAAGAAGAAAGTCCATCTCTTTTGAAAACTAGGGTTTTATATCAAGAAAATAAAATTTCATAGGTATTCAACCCTAAGTTGTGTAAAACATGGTAACAATTGCAAGAAGACCAATAAAAGATAATTTCATAGCAAATATATAAGATTTAGAGTCAAAGAATACATATATATTAACCCTAGCATCAATGGATAAGAATGGAAGAAAACCCTCAACCTTGGTGTTCTTGAAGAAATCTAGGTTTTGATTCAATCCAAAGTGCAAAGCCCTTTTGATCTTGTGTTTTCCCTTCTCTTTCTTCCTCTCTAAAATTTTCTAGGGTTAGAAGTGTCAAAATGGGGCTAAAGGGGTTGTCCTTAAGAAGTTATAGTGAAAGGAAATCCGGTTNCCAAAGTGCAAAGCCCCTTTGATCTTGTGTTTTTCCTTCTCTTTCTTCCTCTCTAAAATTTTCTAGGGTTAGAAGTGTCAAAATGGGGCTAAAGGGGTTGTCCTTAAGTATTTATAGTGAAAAGAAATCCGGCTNAGTGAAAGGAAATCCGGTTGTTCGCGACTTAAAAATTCAAATTTTTCGAAGACCTTCCGGAAGGTTTGTCTATTTGACAAACCATTTTCATTAACCTTCCAGAAAGATGCCATCGACCTTCCAGAAAGTTTTGTCTACTTGACGATCATCTTCCTTAACTTTCCAGAAGGTNGTCTATTTGACAAACCATTTTCATTAACCTTCCAGAAAGATGCCATCGACCTTCCAGAAGGTTTTGTCTACTTGACGATCATCTTCCTTAACTTTCCAGAAGGTTTGTCTTTTGGACAAACATTTTCATCAACCTTCCGGAAGGTTTGCCTATTAGGCCAACTTTTCCAGAGACCTTCCATAAGGTTTTGCCTACTAGTTAAATCTTTTACCTTAACCTTCCGAAAGGTTTTTCATCGACCTTCTAGAAGGTTTTATCTATTTTTCTACAAAACCTCCCTTTTTCATTTCCAAACCTTTCCAAACCTTTTCAATTCCAACCTAAGCTTATTCAACATGCTTTTGTACATCAAACCTAGTTGGTAC